AAAGGATAGAGAATGAGGTGTGATGGAACCTTGTTGGTAGCATGGGTAGGGTAGAGATAGTAGCGACATCGGAGGAAAGGGTTGAAATCTTAGATTTATGGATTATTAATCGGAATATAGAAGCGGTGATGGGTTGGAATTGGATCACTAGAATAGGTCCATGGTATAGTTTTTGGGAAGTATTTTCATGGTGGGGTATATTTGTACCAATAACGAGAGGAATATGCCCTTATGACCTTGAGAGAGAATGTATTCCTGGGATTGAGACCATGTTTAATAAGGGAACCAGCGAAAATATTTATGGGAGCGAAATAAGGAGCGAAAGAAGGAGAGATAATTCTAGGAGCGTAACAAGAAACGATAATGAAAGGATTGAAATAAGGAAAAATAATACAAGGAGCGATAATTCAAGGAGCGAACCAAGGGAAGATATTTCGTGGTGGGAACCCAGGGGAGATAATTCGAGAAACAAAACAGTGAGATGCAATTATAGGAATGAAGTAGGGGGAAAGGAATTCTAGGAGAGAATTAAAGGAGAATAAAGTTAAAGATAAAGGAGAATAAAGTTAAAGAGAAAATAGATAAAAATTACATGGGGCACGTTGGACCTGTTAGGGAGGTTCATGATATTAGGAGAAGGGAGGAGGAAGGAGGAATTGAAAAAGGGGAGGTAGAACGGTAGCAAGAAAAGCAGAGAGTAGAAAATCTTGAAGTAATGAAGGAGGGTAGCAATGGCTTATTATAACAACAGGAAAAAAGGGAAGGAGCCGTCACCGGCAGAGAAGTTTTTAGGACGGAGAACGCGAGTTTAGTTGGATTCACTGAGACCGGCAAATCAAGAAAAGGAATGGGTAGAGAAGGGAAATGAAGCAGAATTTATGGTGGGTCAAGCAGTATGGGCAAGAATATTATAAAAAGAAGTGGGAGCCCGGGGTGATTACGGAGAATATGGGAAGCAAGGTAAAAAAATCGAATTCCCCGATAGAAGATAGGGAGTTAGACACAGGGATCAACTCCGTAGACGGATCGAGCCCGAAATCATGAGGGGAATTGCAAGAGAGGATAAAGGAGCAAGAATCAGAAGATACGAGGCGGAAGGGAATGCATAAAAGGGGGAAAGCAAAAATATATGTGTATCCATGTATTATGATCAAAGTTATGGGATTAAATATGCAGCAAATACGGATATTCTAAGATTTTGAGATCCAGCTAGCTTGTGGATGATAAGAAGGGGTGGGGAATTTCGCAGACACCAACCAGCAATGGAGAGACGGTGCATTCGGTGTGTCAGGATGGGTCACTTCAGAAGCAACTGTCTCCAAGGTACGAATGCGACAACGGATTATGGCTACACGAGGAGTGACGTTCAAGGACCAGTAAGTGATCCAAGGGCAGCGGGGGAGAGGCCGGAGTGGGTATCGCCGATATTGGCCAGCGAAGCGGATGAGGGAAACGATGACAATTGGAGGCAGTAGGAGACGAGGAATGATAATCCTGATGTCGTAGAGGGCGCCGAGATCGAAAGGAGAAGCATGCCAAGAGAAGGATGATAATTTATGATTTGAGAGTACATTTTAGATGGTCTAGCAATATTTCAGGGAACATAAAAATATTGACAAAGAACAGGCATATAAAAATTTTAGGGATAAATAAAATAGATTAAGTGCTTAACTGCCTGATGAGTAGGTAAATGTTTTAACATATATTTCATTCTATTAAATTTGGCTAGAAATTTATCCCTGAAATTAAATACTTTTATTACGATAGGTGAACAATGAAATTATCTTGGTGCTGTCTGATTCTAAATATGAATAGAATTCACTTTCATTTGGATCAAGTGACAGCTCTGTTATTGGAGTTTTTAACGATTTGTAATAGCTTGCGTTTTTTTAGATCTCATCATAAAGACCAGCTAAGGTACTATAATCAAGATTTCAAACATTCAATTTTAGATTAATATTTGTGGAGATTTCTTTTATTATTAAATTAATTAAATGCCCTAACAAAATAATGCTAGTCTAAGTGTATAATCTTGATGGATACCTTGTTTAGTGAAAAGGATGGAATTGTTAAATTTTTACAAAAGTAAGATTGGTTGTAACATGCCGGGATATAAGTAGAATATTCTGAAAATCGCATGTAATAAAAGTAGAAAATTTTTTCCCTTTTAAGCGAATCGAAAGCACCAGACCTGATGTCAACAATATGTTTAGCTTTTATCAAGCGAGTTCCATATGATAGGTTAAATTATGTGAGGAATATTATTGTAAATATGCATGATTGACAGTTAAGCCACTGGATGGGGGGGGGGAAGGGATAGATGCTCAAGCCCCCTAAAAAATTTGAAATGAAGCGCCCTGAAATTTTTTGATTCTTTTTTAAAAAAAAATACAAAAATCTTGAGCCTGTACAGGTTAATGACGTATCCGATGATTGAGTAATATTGTAAATTGTGAAGGTATATTTTGATATAGGTGTATGGATGGTTTAATTGAATCTTGAAGATGCATGGCTCGAGAACCAACAATGCCACTAGTAGACGTTTTTTAAACGATTTAATTGGCTTCCCAAGATTTCAACCAGGATTATTGATAGTATTCAAAGGATTTTAGGATAGTAGGTGCATATATTCCTAACGGATATTTAGATTGTTAATTGCTAAAAGTGTTTTCCTCGTTGGAAGCAATAAGGTCATTGGAACATACAAGATCCAGACTTTTTATATATGTTATTTGAGGTGGTTCACAGCTATTAGTTTTTGTGAAAATAACACGAGCCACCCGCTGAATGATGTTAAATGGAAGACATTAATTCGTAAATATATTTACCCATTCCTGTGCCTGAACAATAGTAATTGAAGTGATATTATTTTGATATTTTGACTTGGAATTGTGAATTTGGTTCCGTTCCATATTGGAAACGTCACTTTTTGAACTTGAAATTGTAGATAAAATTGAATTCATATCGGTGTTATTATATTATTAAATGCAAAAAAAAAAATGAAGGAGGCAAAAGGTTAGTCATATTAATAAGGAAAATATTAGAGGCAGGGCATATATTTGAAAGCCTACCATGACAAATATATTTATTGACTTTTATGAGGAATACATTGTTATGAGATGAGGCACATTTAACTATTATACAAAAAAGTAAAAAGTTTAATAATTTTTAGCGATTCACCTATTATTACTTGACTTTCTTACATAATACATTAGTTTATAAATAATAGATATGATTTCACCTTTTTAATGCTCAGTTGTTTGAATATAATCAAACAAGACCTGATGAGAAGGTCTTAATCCCTCGAAATAGAAATACCCTACTTACTTGGGATACCTGCTTAGATCATTTTCTGCCAGCTGCAAAAAACCTAAAACCTAAATATAGCCATCTACATAACTTATTAGTTACTCTCGTGGTTTTATAAACCTGTGATACACATGAACCTCGGTTCTACCTCTAAATAGTAAGGTATTAAAAAGGCTTAATACTATTATTATATAATTATAATTGTTGTAACTGTTGAAAAAAAGAAGAAATAAATTTAATATAATACATCAAATTTCAGTTATTTTCTGACAGGAAAATTAAGTTTTCCTTGGGGGAAGAAGTGTGTTTCATTGTTCGGAAAACCCCGTAGTTGGAGATTAAGAGATATTGGATTAGATGTCAGCTGTGGACCTTTGGATGTCAGCTGTGGACCTTTGAGAAATGAAGAATTGGATAATTATATTATGTTATATTTTTCTACATATTTTATGTTAGATTGTTGTGGTTTTATTGGAAATAAAGATAATTATGTTAAATATGGATCGTCGTTAATGGTCAATGGTATTTATTTAATATTATTAGAAAGAATTATTTTGGGTTGTTAAGTTATATAATTGAGAGTAAAGGGCATTTTTATTATATTTAAGGTAACTTGTAATAATAATATTACGCATATTTTTTATCTGAATATTATTAAAGTATTTTAACAAATAAATTGCTTTAAATTATAAACTTACACATACATCTTTTATAAATTATAACTATAATTTTTATATACTAGTGTTATTATATTACAATTTAATTTCTTTATCATATTAGGGTTGGGGGGAAAAGGGCAGGGGGGGGGGGGGGGTACCATTTAAGATTAATTATAAATATTTATATATTAAAATTGATATTTAATAAAGGATAATACTAATAAGAAGCAATAGCTTCATACCGGATGGAGGGGGGAGTTAATGTTATCATATAACCTTTAAGGATAGTGAGTAAAAAATAATTTAGGGTTAGGAGATAGGCGGTATTTGTTTTCGGCTGATAAGGAGCAAATCATCATTTATTAGAAAAAATGAAAACTAAGTAAACAGTAATGTTTCTCCTTATCAAAAAATATATATAAATTATATTTAAAATTAAATATAAAAATATCATTAAATATGTATAAATCAAAGGAACATGTTCTTCCTTGCAAAATGGCAATTATGCAAATATCCGTTAACTAAACCTAATAGCGAGCAATTAAACGAATGTTGATAAATAATTACAACGTTTTGCCTAGGCCTACAAAAAACGAATCGAGTATTTGTGCTATTCGTATTCGTATGAATAATAAAATCGTTATTCGATTCGATTCGAAAATTATTCTATAAAGCTTATAAAAAATAGATTATATTTTGCAAAAAATAATTATAGACAGATGTGGATGTTTTGAAATGATACAAAAAAAAATTAAACTAATTGTCATTAGCATATCAAAATTTACAGAAAATAAGCGAAAACCCAATAATTTTATAAACGTTATCCAAAGCCAAACAAGTTGGCCAAAATCACCTGATTTTTAGAATTAGAATCGCTTATAAAAATATCTAAATTCTTTGCTATAAATCATTTCTTAATATTCCAAATTTTATTAAAATTTTCTTTTATAAACATCAAAATATAATATATAAAAAATACAATTTTTCGCTCACAAAGCGAAGATAGATTATGTATTAAAATATTTAGTCGATTATATTTCCGATTTTTTTCCATTAACATTCAACCCGCTATTAATTTGAATTAATTTAGGCTCAGAAGCATGTTGAGATCTTTTTAAAATTTTGATTAAGGAATATATGTTCGGATGTGCACATAGTGTTTTTCGTTTGATACTATGATGATATCCTTCTAAATGATTATTCATCCTAGGAACCATTAATTGATATCTAAATTATAAATTTATATTGTATATATATATATATATATATTACTTTTTTAATATACCCAGGCATTAATGGAAAGCAATGTCAGATCCATATTGCATAAAATTTATTAGCAAAAGATTTTCAAGTGACATGGCAAGAAACTATGCCCTAACTTCGGAGATATCTTCCTCAATGCAAAAGGGCAAAGTAGTCATACGTCTGAATTACTTTGTGAAGAGTGGAATTGTCTCTATATACTATTGTTAACCATAAAGCCTGACATTTCCGCCATATGACTTGGGAAAAGTGGAAGAAAAGGCCTATAAAAATTTATATAAAAATATACGTAATAAATTAACCTTTAATGAACATTGTAGGAAAAACAAATCTTAGAGCTGATATTGCAGCAGCCTCATAATCAGTCTGCACGTATCTAGGATAAAATATTATATTATTTTCTGAACAGTATCTTAGAATTTTTTCTAAATAATTCTATACATGTGGCTTATCAGGAAGGAGTGCATAAGCGATAGGTATCATAGTATGATGATATGAGACATGAATGGTATATAATTGATAGTAAAGTCGTGGCACAACATAAAATGTTCCATCCATATATGTTTTAATGAGCTTCAGTATGTCACATGTACCAAATACCAATCTATTATTATCATCATTAATTAAAAATATATCACCGCTATTTTTGGTGATATATTTGGGCAATAGAACTATTTCATTGACGGACTCTAAAGAGGGCCAACTTTTTTGTGATAATAGATCTATTTTACTTTTTATTGAAATATATGGTGAGGGCATCGCCTCCAGTTACATATTTATGTTTGGCGTTTCCAAATTCTTTTATTTAAAGCTTTTCCTATATATTGTGCCTAGTTTCTAGAGGATTTTCGGTAACAATATCATCTAGAACCTGGTGAGTTCTCAGCTTTTCAGACAGACCGACTTCATTTTGATGTTCATGCAAACCGGAGGTTATATATACAATGCATCAAATTTGCATAAACCCTGCAGACAACTTTTCTACATCGACAATGTATTCTGCCATGAAGCAGTTTTCCTTTTTGAGATTTTATAAACCGAGGATATTAATAAATATAAGAATCATACATTAATAAGGAGCTCTAATATTTATGAAAGGATAAGACAGAACTAGATACTTAAAACAAATAAATAATTATTCTTTAAAGAGATGTGTTAATATTGTTTAATTATTCCAGGGTCTTACCCAAAAATAATTAAAAAATAGCTATGCTATATTAAGCATCTAGGGTTATTATATTATGTGACATTCTGTATTTAATTTGTTTTCAAAAAAAATAAAAAAAAATAGTCTTTTATAAACATAATTTTACCACTAATATTTTTATGTAAATCTATTAACACGTGGTCTACTTATAAAGGGAGATCACTATTACCTATAAATATATTTTAGAAATTGACAATTTGTGTATTAGATACTTTCAATGCCAATATTTAAATTAATAACTTGAAAAGCACCTAAATTACTTTGATTTAAATAAAAGTTTGATAGGCTATGGCAAAACAAGAAGTTAGAGGGGCTAATGACAAATTTGTAATTTGTCAGGCTAATAAGTAAAAGTTAATGTTAAAAATACAAATATCATAAATACCTTGATTTGAAATAATATTTTGATGGGCAATGGTATCATAACTATAAGTTAGAGGAGATGACAAATTTGTAATTCATGAGGCTAATAATTATAAGTTAATGTTAAAATTACAAATATCATAAATACCTTGATTTGAAATTAATTTTCTTGAGTTATGGCATCAGGAGTAGAGGTTTGAGGGACTAATGTTAAAACATTAATCAATGGTAAAATAATATTATAAAAATCATTACCATGATTAGCATTAGAAGTTTGAGCAGCTACTAAGTTTTGACAGTCTAAAGAATGTTGAGTAGTGATAATTAAATCAAGGCCAATAATTAATTTGGCTCTACCACCACATCTTTTGCGACAAGTAAGGTAAACAGCCTTTTTCCCACTTGTATGGGTCAAATATTCATGCCCTTGGTAGCATATATAGTCCTTCTTCTTCTGTGTTTGCTGAAAACAAAAATAATAAATACATAAAATGGTTTGTTACTTTTATTTCAAGTTGTATGTATTTAAGATAATTTTTAAGGTTATCTGCTAATATATGGCCAGAACTAGAAGTTTGAGGGGATGACAAATCTGTAATTTGAGGGGCTAATAATTATAAGTTAATGTTAAAAATTCAAATATCATAAATACCTTGATTTGAAATAATATTTTGATGGTCTATGGCATCAAAATTTGAAGTTTGAGGGGATGACAAAATAATTTGTGGGGCTAATAATTATAAGTTAATGTTAAAATACAAATATCATAAATACCTTGATTTGAAATAATATTTTGATGAGTTATGGCATCAGAAATAGAAGTTTGAGGGGCTAATGTTAAAACATTGATTCAATGGTAAAATAATATTAAAAATCATTACCATGATTAGCATTAGAAGTTTGAGCAGCTACTAAGTTTTGACATTCTAAAGAATGTTGAGTGGTGATAATTAAATCGAGGCCAATCATTAATTTGGCTCTACCACCACATTTTTTGCGACAAGTAAGGTAAACGGCCTTTTTTCCACTTTTATGGGTCAAATATTCATGCCCTTTGTAGCATATATAGTCCTTCTTCTTCTGTGTTTGCTGAAAACAAAAATAATAAATATATAAAATTGTTTGTTACTTTTATTTCAAGTTGTATGTATTTAAGATAATATTTAATGTTATCAGCTACAGTTGGAATCATATCAAATATAAGGCGGCCATTTTTGAGAATTTATTGTGAATATTCAGATTTTTCGCAACTACTCTCGCTATTATTCATAGTGGAGACGGATATGATTTTACGTCAAAACATATGATTTGACGGCGTCCGATAAGGCTTTTATAGTGATTTTTTTAAAGTTTCAGCTTAAAACAGATTAGACATTATTATTTTTTTAAAATGAACAAATATTATTTAGTTAAATTATATATTATATCTGATCTATTATTTCAAAAAAAAAAAATATATAGTTAATTCAAAAAGAAGAAAGGAGGAACGCATTTTACTTTGCTACCAAAATTACTTAAAAATGATGTAAAGCTCTATAATTATAAGCGTATGAAAAAAGTGAGTATATTTTTAAATATAGTATTTTCATAATTTTACTATTAAAAATAGGAAAACTTCTATTACATATAGGATCTTATAAAGTTAAATTTATAAAAAAGAAAACAAATTTTATCAAGAATTTACTTCAAGTTAATGATTACTCTGAGGTAAAATATTCATATCTTTTTTATAACTTGGTTATATCTATAAATATTTATAAATTTATTAAAAATATTTACTTATTTCACAAAATTACCTTATCATATATATATATTAAAATAATTTTAAATTTTATAAATAATATTAAGAACCCTTATATTTAACTAATATAAGTTGTAACACTAATGAGTTATTATTTTTATCTGACACATTATAATCTTATTACTATTAAAATACATTTTTATGCATATTCTTAGTACTTTATTTAATCTAGATATCTTGTATTTGGGGATTATGCTTGTCATATTATTATTATAAACTATGGGTATCAACTATAAAGCAAATAATAGTAGAAACAACCAAAGCTTTATGGGAGCAACCAATTCATATGAAGGTCCAACCTTGGAGATGTTTGAGGAGGTTCTCAGGTTTTAATGAGATGTGGAACTTTCCAAACTGTGGAGGTTGTAATTTTATTTAAATCTAGCAAAAGATAATTATTTATTCATATTAGGAAATTTATGGCTATAGATGTTTTACCAGCTATGGGAGCCAAAGTGTTGGTGGAGTCTTTTTTCAATCTACTATTTATATATTTTTTACAAACTAAAATTAGAATATAATATTAAAAAGGTTAAGTTATAAAAATAAAAGGTAAAACTAAATAAAAATATAATTTGAATAAGTTATTAATTAAATGAATGTGCATTACATTATAAACATATACTATTTATTAACCAAAATATATAATTTATTAATTTATTAATATCTATAATATAACAATATCATCGTAACCAATGAAAAAGTAAATATAACCATTTTTGAACTTGGGGATTCAGATCTTCCTTTATGGAACCAACAAAGTATCAAAAATACAACTGATTAGAATAAAAACATTAGAAATTCGTTTTCTAATTATTTAAATATAATATTACAATTTTGTCATGGCAAAATAATATTTTAAACTTATATTTGTTTATTCAATGTTTTGTAATATAAAATTTATATTTATAAATGTGAATATAAAAAAATAAATGATCATTTTTTTAATTGACTTTCATACAAAAAAATAATTTGTACAATATTCATTTTGACTTTATCTATATGGTCCGAGGGAAAAGATGATAATTCATCTTAGCAAAAGATGATACCTTTTTCTTATTTTTTCCTCAATAGTTATTATTATTTCCTCAATAGTTAATATTTCTTTTAAAATTACTTTTTCCTTTTTTTATTTGTGGTTATAGATATATTTTTACCTTATACCTATATTTTCATCTAAAGTTATATCTCATAATGAAATTGAATTTAATATGGTGATATTGGATTTATGTCCACAGGGTGTTAATGTTTTGTTTAAAAAGATAAAAGATTGATAATATGGCCATGCAGGTATATAAAGTGGCTCTGCTGAACTACAGGGATTATCCATTGTCTTTTTTATATTCTTTATTCTCATAATGTCTAAGATTATTCCATCTTGCCTTTAAATCATCACAAAAAAAATATATAAAATAGAAGTAAATAAATTATCATATCGTTTGCTCAATTATTGAAAGTGTTCAATTTAATTAAAAAATTAAATATAAATGATTATTGCAAGATATTGATTATCATTGTAAAAACCAAATTTCAGAAAAAAATTTAAGCTTAATTTACTTTGAATCTAAATATCTACATGAGATAATATAATATTAATACAATATCAGATAACATTTTTTAGGGTGATTTTTATTACAACCTATCCACAAACTATAATCTTAAAATATAAAAAAAAATCCTATTATTTTTACCAAGGACTAAAAGATAGAAAAAGAGGAGACAAATGGAATAGTAAAATATGATAATATGGTATTAAAATTGATTCACAAATTTCTACATGACTATTCTCACCTATTTAAATCATTACGATATATTATAAATGGGAGCACCTGAATAATCAACAATAGTTATCAGGTATTATAATGATATATTTATGAAGTTTTAATACCTGGTTTGGCCAAACTGCAAAACCTAGATTCAAAATAGTGCTTTCTTGTTTGAGTCTTTATAATCATCCTCAATTTTTATCACTTATATATATTTACATTCTCTTAAAATATCGATTAAATTCATTAAATTTATTTTCTTTGCGTCTACAATGTTGGGTTTAAAATATTGTTAGTAAATGTTATATATCGTTTTAAACGATCTTTAAACTTTGTCTGATCCGTTTTTAAGATGGATGGTATCGGAATGGACGCACTTGAACATTGATATCATTTTTAATGAGATTGACATTTGACTGAACGGATGTAAAAAACGTATCCGTCACCATCATGAATGCAGCCTTACCTGAACCTCAAGCCCTAAAATTATTCCGACCAATAGGAAAAAAGTTACGAGCAATAACAGATAATCCAAAAGAGGATGTTTTTTTTTAAAACTTATAACAAAGAATGCCTATCAAAATTTAACGATTCAATTATAATATCCTAAGACCAGCTGATTTAATTCAAATAGTTTTTTTTTTACTTTTTTTAAATATTTTATAGAGATGATAGTATATTTAGATATTAGATATAGGAAGCTCTACAGGGTGGAAAACTGGGATCAAGTCAACTTAAAAAATTTATGGACACAAAACGTAAAAATAATGTAAATCAGTAATTGTTTCTGACGGAGAATTAGGAATATTTTATAAATAAAATCATTTGTATTCCAGTTTATAATTGTGTTAATTTTTAGGGTTCGGATGATTTTATCTATGTCACATCCTTCTCCACCTGAATAAAGCTCCGTAATTGCCTGAAATTATAACCACTCCCCATAAGATTCCCTTATTATCCACAACCAATTATCATCTCAATATCCTCCCCCCTCCCCAACTTTCTTACTTTGATTTTCATCGCTCGACGAAGGCTATAAAATTTTTCGAGATTTATTGATTTGGCGATAAAAGATATGTGAATTCGCTCAAAATAGCGCAAGGTTAAAAGTTTCGAGGAAATAATGTTTCGGTGATAAAAGTTTAGCCAGAATTTGACAAGGAACTCAATTAACGAGTTTATTTTACCCCAGGAAATAAATACTGACAAAACTCCGAAAATATATCTTCACAAACAAATTCAATACAAATTGTCTCTTCGATTTAAGTTGTGTAATCACAAATTTAAAAAAAAAATTGAAGCATTTTATTGCATTATTAATAAACACTAGTAGACAGCCCGTCAAAAATGACGGGGAATGAGATTTTTATTCATTTTTTACGATAGATGTCATGCCAGGTTCAAGCTCACAATATTAAGAAGCATCCAAGTTGTAAAAATGTTTATCAAGCCCATTTTATTGCATTATTAATAAACATAATATACCATGTTTTTTATAAAAGAAATAATAATATTAGAAATTTGCTAATTATGTTTTCATATTAGGTTAATCATATTTAGGGTCTATATAATAGATATACTCACACACACACAGTATTAGAAGAGCTATTAATTTCATCTCCCTTCTGATTGCCATTATCCTTACTAATTTATAATTTATAAAAATATTCGTTTTAAATTTGGTCTTAGGGAAAACTTGAAAAACAAGAAGTATAACTATCAAAATATTTTGTTATATAGAAATCGCTAATTATAATGCCAGAAAAAATGAAAATAAATATTTGACTGTAGAGTTGCTATGAATTTCAAAAAAAATTTAACTACGAATATTTGCATGCAATTCTAAAATTTAACAAAATAATTATTGGTATTAATGATTTTAACAAATATTTACCGATTAATTTTGCGTAGAAGAATTTTTTATTTATTATTATTTTTTTTATTTATTTTTTTTTTTATTTATTTTTTTTTTTCGTAATTCAAATTAAAACTTCTCGAATAGAATAAATTCCTAATATGAATGTTATTTGTAAACACTAAATCTATACATATATATATACATATTTGAATAAATGTATTTAAACACGGTTTATGGAAAAATGGCACAATGGCAAATGCTTTCTAGTTTGATGTTTATCACTTCGTTCATACCTACGGGATTGATCTTCAAGTGGAATACGTTATCCTTCAAGCACGATTCCATGTTGATAGTCACGTCAAATGTTACCTTGTATTAATTGTTTACATTGTTTTTTTTGGCATAAATCAAAATGATTTTTTTTTTAATTATAAATTTCGCGTATAAAAAGAAAAATAAAAAATCATGTTTAACGTCATTTTCAAAGTGCTAATTTTTTAAAAAAAATATTTAATTTTTATAAATGTGTAAAAGTGTCTAAAAATGTGAAATTATTCGCCATTTTTTCTAAGTAAAATACCTTACCGTATCACCAACTTTTAACCCTTCACACAATTTCGTTTTTCTCGATTTCGTTTCAAGACAAGAAGATTCGTACGAAATCGTAATATTGGGCAAGGCATTATCTAGCAACTCGACTTTTGATGTTATTTTCTGATTTTAAAAAATTAAAATTTAAGATGCAAACATATTTTTTTCGTTCTTTTCACTGTTACATTACATTTTATATTATATTTGAATTAGACGAAAATCTCAAATATATAGGGAAGACCATGAGCTAATCGGCGCGAGGGGATTGTCGGTTCAGCGGATTCTCTTTAAAAAAACTAGACATGTTTAGAAATTCGGATATAACATATGTTATTGCATTTGTGTGATATGTATATTTGAATCGAAAAATATCTTATAGGGGAGACCAGGGGCTAGTCGGTGCTAGGGGCTCGTTGGTTCAACGGATTTCATTTTAAAAAAACCAAACATGTTTTTAGAAATTCAAATTTAATTATGTAATAGCATTATATTATATGTATATTTGAGGTAAAAAAAAATATTTTATACCCCTCAGCTATTTAAAAAAAAAATTTTAATGATAAATTGTGTATTTTTTAGGGTAAAAATCAAAATATTTTTTACACCACAATATTTAGGTGGCATTAAAATATGAAGAGGTTTAAATAATAATTAAATTTGACATTGTGCGAAATTGAAAACCCCCTCTGTTTTGAATTTCAGAAAGGTTCATAATCATTATTATCATGCATAAATATATATTTTTTTTTAAAAGGGTATTAATTATATTTGTAACTAGGGGCTTGTAGAATCAGGGTTAGTCGGCTCAAATCAAATCAAATTATGTTTACGCTAACCTAAATTAAATTTAAAATTGATCCTTTCGTTATTAATTTAATCATTGGGGTTTGGGGCTCGGGGCTTGTTGGCACAAAAATTTACTTTTTACTAGAGAATCAATCTTGAGAAGAAAAAGTATAAAATATTTTAAAAAATTTATCAGTGTAATAGAGTTAGGATAGGGTTAGGATAAGGTGTTTGGGCTAATCTCGTAGTGTTTTAGTAAAATTTAAATACAAAAAATTATTTCCGGATCTATGAAATTTTTTTTCGCATAATTATTTAGCCTCATTTTATAAACTCAAATTACCTTAAAATTTATTTTTTTTTTCTCGAAGGGAACATTTTGCAATGTTGTATAATGGCGACGAGAAAGAAAAAAAAAATTATTATGTATTCAATAAAAAATTTGTTTTTTTTAAATGTTATTTATTTACATCTCTATAATCTATATATGAGAAAAATTATGAATCCAAAGATCTTATATTTGATAGTGAATAAGCTAAGGATGGTTTGGGAATATGTGGTAAGGGGGAGAAGCGTAATAGAGGAAATAGAAGAGATAGTGGGAATATTATGATGAAATTATTAGAGATCCACAAATCTCTCTATCAAATTTAAAATTTTGGCACAAGTTGCCACACTCAACCACAACGTAATTCGTTACATTGTTTTTCTGGGTACGAATTTTTCGGCCATCACATTTATATTATCTATATCTAATTTTTTTTTTTCTTCTCCAATGTCAATTCAAGGGTTTTTATATTTTTTTTAGCTTCTATATATCTATTCTATTCATTTTCTAACACACAATTTTATAACAATTTGTTTTAAAAATTGTGGTTTGCGCATCAGGTGATAATTGGGATTATCAAATCATAGAATAAATTGTTTAATTATATTTTTTTGGTGAATTTCACTGTTATTATTTATAGATTTTTAAGTATTTTAGCTGGACCAGACTTGAAACACTAAGAAATAAGCTTATTGTAATTTATTTTCAAAAAATAAAATAAAAATGTACAAATATTGGAATTTTAAAGCCCAAAAGCTGGCCTATTAAAATTTTGACGAAAATTCGTAACGTTGCCCCTGTCAGATTTTTATATGTATAAATTGTCTACAAACTAGAAAACTTTTTATTACGTGTACTTCTCAGTCATTATAGGTTTATTCTAAAAAAAATTGCCCTAACCTGACCAGTGGCCGACGGGGTTTTCGGTCGGACCGGGCTTTGCCGGATATCTAATAGATATCAAGGAATAAATTGAAGAATGGAGCAAGGAAGTGTAAAATCTTGAAAGGAAAAGAAAGTTCTCTCATTATTTTCCATTATGTAAGGGAATTGTCCATACATTTTTGTTTAAGGTTAAAAAATATATATATATACACAATGGATAATTTAAAAGTATAATTAGATACGTAAAAAATGTTTAATTAATTTTTATTCACGAGCCAATATGATTATACTTCATTCAACAAAACTGACTTTACACATATGTTTCTAAAAACTACGTTTGTTTTTTTTTAGGTATCGTTACAAAAATATTAAGTTTTTTTTCCCAGATTTTAAGAATAAGTTATAAAATTGAAAAAAAAAAAATTTTAAGAATATAATAAATGGAAATAATATGCTAAAAAAATTATATTAGCATTAAAAAAAAAAATAGTGAATTTATCTATTAGGAAGGTTATCTTTCTCAAATTAAGAAGTTGTTTCTTAGTTTTTTGCGATTTAACTCTTAACTATTGTCTATGATGTCCCATACAAGGAAGAAAATTAATAATTTATGAAGAAAGCGTCAAAAAAATGAACAAAGAACTAAGGATTACCTTAAAATCGAGAATACGAAGTTATAAAATTCCTATAGAATGGACGTAGTGTAGTTATAATAACGGCCGATTTTAACCCAACATAATATTATGTAAATTTCGAGATTTGGAAAATATAGATGTCACAACCTTTCTTCCACCTATGCGCCAAAATTTCCAGGAGGGTAGGAGTTAAGCGTGGATAAATTTTCAGAGGGGGTAAACCCATCACTGTTTGGGGGGGGGGGGGGTAATATTATATTGGCTAATTAGACCTATTTTTAAAAAAGTGATCCCAATCGGGAACATTAAAAATAGATTTATTATCAACCTCCTATAATAAATTTCCCCTTAACATTTTTGTTTTATACCATATATTTCTAATTTCTTAAAATTCTTCTTTTTTTTTATACTCATCAAATACCTTTGTGACATTATTATATTGGCTAATTAGACCTATTTTTAAAAAAGTGATCCCAATCGGGAACATTAAAAATAGATTTATTATCAACCTCCTATAATAAATTTCCCCTTAACATTTTTGTTTTATACCATATATTTCTAATTTCTTAAAATTCTTCTTTTTTTTTATACTCATCAAATACCTTTGTGACATAATTTAATAAATTAAATAGAAATATTATTAATTAAATTTTAAAAAAAAGGCCAAATACTATATTTTAACCGCCTAGCGACATTTTATCACACGACACTTTATCATGCGACACTTTATCATGGGACACTTTATCACGACGACACTTTATCACGACGACACTTTATCACGACGACACTTTATCACGACGACACTTTATCATGACGACACTTTATCACGACGACATTTTATCACTCAGTCATTTGATAACGCGACACTTTATCACGCGACATTTTATCATGATATACTTAAAACTTAATTTATTATAATTGAAAAGTTAAATTTTGATAATATCTCATTTTTTGACTTTCATCATGATATACTTAAAACTTAATTTTATATATTTGAAAAGTTAAATTTTGATAATATCTCATTTTTTGACTTTCATCATGATATACTCCTGTTGGTATATATAGCTTATTACCAAATAAAACGGCGCATACATATGCAAGGATGATAAAAGAAATCATATTATATATTTTAAGAGATGTAATTTAAATTTTATTATAGGAGCTGAAACAATTACTACCAGGGGCCCATCCGAGGAAAATATTGGTGGATTTCGAACAGGCACCGATAAATGCGTATAGAGCTGGGTATCCACTCGCAGATATCCTTGGATGTTATTTTCATCTAAAACAGAGCGTTAATAAAAAAATAAACGATTTGGGATTAAAAGAGATGTATGAGTCGAATGACGACTTTCGATTGTATAGTAGGTGTTTATCGGCTCTTGCATATGTCCCAGAGGATGATGTTGGAAACTCATTTGATACTTTGGCAGAAATATTTGGTGAATTGAATGGCTCATCTGAGCTAATTTCCTACTTTGAGAAGACCTATATCCGAGGATGTAGAAATCCCAGTAAAAAAAATTTTTTTTATTATAAATTTATATATTTATAGGGCAACGAAATAACTTTGAAGCGCCTAAGACTATGGAATAAACACAATTCCACGTTAGAAGGTGTCGCCCGAACAACAAATTGTGTTGAAGGGTGGCACTATGGAATTCAATCCCTATACCAATGTTCTCATCCAACACTATGGAAATTTTTAGATGGGATACAAAAAGATATGCAGAAACATAAAGCTCTATATCTTCAAGTCGTGATGGGAACAACACCGTACTTATCAAAGAAATATGAAGATATAAAAAGACGAATTCAGATTTGTGTTTCAAATTACGGATTGTCGGATTCTTTAATATTTTTAAAAGCTATTGCCCATATTTCGTGCAATTAAATATTTTATAAATAATTTATATTTTTTACTCGTGATATATTGATTTATAGTTACTTATTAATAAAAAGTATAAATAGAAAATTATTGCTTGTCTCCTGTTTCCCTATATAAGATGATAATTAAGTTAAAAAAAATTATATTTATGTAAATTAAAATATAAGTGTTTCTCAATAAAAAAAATTAATTTAAATTTTTTAAATATTGAAATTTAGACGGAAAAGTCAAAAAATGAGATATTATCAAAATTTAATCAAATATATTAAATTAAGTTTTAAGTATATCATGATAAAGTGTCGCGTTAACATAAAAAATTAATTTAAATTTTTTTAAATATTGGAATTTAGACGGGAAAAGTCTAAAAATGAGATATTATCAAAATTTAATTATTTTTTCAAATATATTAAATTAAGTTTTAAGTATATCATGATAAAGTGTCGCGTTAACATAAAAAATTAATTTAAATTTTTTTAAATATTGGAATTTAGACCGAAAAGTCAAAAAATGAGATATTATCAAAATTTAATTTTTTCAAATATATTAAATTAAGTTTTAAGTATATCATGATAAAATTGTCGCGTGATAAAGTGTCGCGTTATCAAATGACTGAGTGATAAAGTGTCGTCGTGATAAAGTGTCGTCGTGATAAAGTGTCGTCATGATAAAGTGTCGTCGTGATAAAGTGTCGTCGTGATAAAGTGTCGTCGTGATAAAGTGTCGTCATGATAAATTGTCGCATGATTAAGTGTCGCGTGATAAAGTGTCGCGTGATAAAGTGACTTTAAATCATTTTAACATTGTAAATGTCTTATCTTGCCCTTTACTGGGGAAAGACACAATTAAATGGCTTCCATCACCCAAAAGATGGCGTATCCAGTGCAGCGAATTTGCATCCACTGTTTGGCAGTAAATTTACCCTACTGTCAGGGCCCATTTAATTAAAAATGGATGATGATACCTCTTATGGGTAAGCCAGGATCCGCTGAATGACAGTAATTTACCCTACTGTCAGGGCCCATTTAATTAAAGAGAGATAAATATTTTACATTGTAATTGTCTTTGATCAATTCAACGATATTCGACGAATCGTTGGTTAATTGACATACAGCCGAACCTTCCAATATTTTGCTGAACTTTTGATATGCCGTCCATTGTTCGCCCGTAGTTGCGAATATGATATTAACGCTATTCTCCCTAACCTTTCGAATAATTTGATTGACAGAAGGATAATCCTAATTATAAAAGTTATGTTTTTTTTTCTATAAAAAAAATCAATTAACATAATATAGATTAAACCTGTACGGTGCTTCGTGTATAATCGCCATTCCTGTCTAAATGGCATTCACCATCATTCGGTTTAGCGATACCACCCCTATTTCCATCCCTCCCAAAATGAAAGCTGTCCGTTAAAAATATCAATAATTTTCGAGCTTTATATCTCCATCCTATTTCGTCGCGACACGCAATAGCCTAAATAAAATTATTTTCGTGGGATAAATGATATATTAAAATCCGATGGAACTCCGGTTTTCTAGAACAATTCGATCAAACCCTGATCGGTCGGAATAATCCGATCGAACTCGGGTTATTCGGACTTGGAAAGACATTTCTGACTCTGTCAAATTCGGATTTTGATCTTAAAAAAAACTCGGAAGCAGATTCAGAGCCCCGAAAATGTTTTTAAAATTAATTTATGCCGACCGAACCCTAAAATGGTAACTAGAAAACGAAGCAGGATTTCGCTATATATCGTATTGAAGATATAATAAATAAAATGTAGAACCTGCAAAATAGCATCGGAACCCCCACCTTCAGGAGCATCCGAATTTCGGGAGACGAGAGTTTTTTTAATTTCGTCAGCGAATCGATAAATATCTCTAGTTAAGCTCACGTGATTCTTGTAAGAATTGCCCCATTTTACAGGCGCAACGCTCGCGTTGGGCATAACTGCTCGGTCCACGAAAGACCCAAAACCAACCCGGAAGTCGGAGGTTATATTTATCGTGCTCTCCCCTAAAGTTTTTAAATATTTGAATTTATAAAATTCCCCAATAGGAGAAAATCGAAATAGTTATTTTTGATTAAACTTAGCAGATATAATTGGGGCTTCAGGGTGTTCGAAACCGATAAAAAAAAATTTCAGGGTTTGGTTCAGGGGAATATTTTTGACGGGATTAGGAATATTCTTTATTTTATTTTATAGGAAAAATTATCAAAGTACACTCAATGTATAAATTTCAAATTTTTTATTTTTAGACGTATTAGCACGATATCTTCTAAGAGTCGTTCACTCGTTCTCAATCGAGTGGGAAAAAGGGTCTTCCAACGCTAACAATCCTATATTAAACAAAATTTATGTGGATAATTTAACTTGGGTTACAAGGAACAGCAAATAAGATTTTAGATAGAATATTATAAATCAGAGGTGCTGCAGCTTAGCAAACACCCCCAAAAATACAAAATATTAGTATCCTCTTCCGCCTTCCTTGAAGTCGTATCAATTTTTTTTCTAAGATCACTTGTATGCAATGACTTCAACCGAAACTATTCTTTGTTAAAGGGCTAACTCGATACTTTATCCAGGAAAATATTACAGAAGCCTAGAGATTTTGCTGCTCATAGATGGCACTGAGGAAGAACATCTGTTGACCAAATCTCGACGCTTAGGCAATATTTTCCTGGCTATAATGTTGAGTTAGCCGTTTTTAAAAATGGGCTCAAATCGACATCGATCAACAAAACTATTTTAATCCGATTCTATAAATTAACAAGGTTTTCTGCACAAATCTTATCATTATCACTGAGCAATATATCTATAATATTTAAGAATTTGTATCCGTTTATAACTCTCATTTTTAAATTATTAATATTTGCATTTATAAATATACAAATAATATCTGTATATAATGATTTTTTTAAATATATAAAATCTACTAAACCCAATCGAACCCCTGGTTATTAAATTTTCCGGGTTTGATTTGGGTTTTTTTAGAAATAAAGAAGAATAATAAAGCATCCATTTAAGCAAAAAATTACAATCGTGTTTAATACATATCATTTTTTTTTTTGAATTTTATAATGATTAAGTAATTTATATAGTAATCTTACATAGAAATTTCTATTAATAAACCCAAAAAATGTTTTTTTTAAAAAATCTACGTATTTAGAAAAATTTTTGTTAGTCAGGATGATGTAGTGTTGTTAATCGGCTCGATTTATTCGAACCGGTTTTTAAAAACGGCTGACTCCTCAATATTTTATCCAGAAGAAAATAACGTGAGCCCGACGATTTTGCTCATAGATGTCACAAGGGTTTTGGACACGTCTATCAGCGAAATCTCAAGTCTCCGGCAATATTTCTCTGGCTGAAATCTTGAAGCACTTAGTTAGATATGGTTTTAGCAGTGAGAAATGATGGTATATTATTATATTCGGCAATTTAAATTTTTACGATTACAAACTTAGCAGATCTCCTAATCGAGCCAGGTGTTTCTTATAATCTTCCACAGGATTCGATAAATCCATCAAATAGTACAAATCCATAGGATAATCTTTAACTCGTCTGAATTTCACTTTAAATGTGAGTTGAGTTTCTAAATAAAATAAATTTTTTTTTATATCGAATCTTTAATTGGAGGAAGGAAAAAATCAATTTACTTGGTCTCATCCCAATTTTCAATGCTTGAGGAGCTATTTGAACAAAATTTTCCATTGTTCCGTAATGGCCTAATGGTTTGTTCTAAAAATGCGTTTTTAAAAAATATAGATTCATTTAAGTTTTTAAAAGAAAAAGAAATTACAATGATTATATGTATATAATTGCTGGGATCTATTATTTTCGATATTTCGCAGCCCCTTTCCGTTAGGTTGCGCGAAAAATCACATCTAGATTTGCCATCCAAACCATATTCCTATATATATATAAATAAATTAAAAAATATTTAATGCATTAGAACAACTTCAATTTGGCACCAAGCACATTCATAGGGGCTTTTTATGCACTCCCCACAACTTTTTCCAGCTGTGCAGGGATTTTGTGTTTTAGATAATTCTACTTCTATTATATATATATATATATATAATTAAAATGTAATTGTGTGCATAACTTTTACCTTCACAGAATAAAAAATTGAAGGATATTTGTGTATAATAAAAACATACGAATAAATAAGTTAATATGAGCATAATGTTAGACATTCAAAAAATATTTAGCCATATAATATAATTGAAAGTTCCTTTAGAGTTACTAGAAATGTATCTTTAATTTTAAGAAAAAATATATATATTCTTGGAGATAGCGTAAACAAATAAATATTTTATATAATTATATTCATTTAATTTTATTTTTTTTAAATATTTTTATAAAAAAACGTAAATAAATTTCATTATAAATGGTTAATAATATTAATTATTTAATTTTTTTAAATTAATGTAAGGTTGTTTTTAAAAAAAAAAAAATTATGATAGTGTGGCTTCGTTTATAGGCAGCTCAAGCGACGCGTAATTCATCCGCTAAACGATATCGCGACTGAATCGCGTAGCGATAATACTTTTTAAAATAAATGGTGGCATAGAGGCGAGCATATGAAGGCCGCATCCGTTCGACATCCTCGAATATCTGCTGTCAATCTATACTAAAGGTAATGAGAAACAGGCAAGACTTCAGATGAGTGAAGCAAGTCATGTCAGTATTTTTAATATAAAAAAAATTTTATTTAAAAAAAAAAATCAGATAATTGACAACTTGTCATCCACTCAAGTGACCTGTGGAGGGATATTAGATATCAATTCTGAGAGAATGCTAATTATATTTTTTTAATAGGGAAATTATTTTTTAAGATCAGCAGGAAGGCTGTCATCATATAAATTTTATTTTAATGGGAGAAGCGTAGCAAGCATACTCTCAGCGGGGGTGGACTGGTGGACCCAATTCATTTTTTGATAAATAAAGGACCTCTGGGGTCTCTCCTAGAAAAATATATATGTTATTTAATCTGCGTATTAGAATCAATTAACCTTGAAAATAAAGGCAATTGATAATTAATTGTTTTCAATTATATTTTTTTAATTGTTGTATTTATATTGATTTGTTAAAGATATATATACAAACTGAAGAAATAATAAAATAATTCTTTGTTTTCGTTTATAGTTCAGTTTGCTTATTAAAATTTAAAAAAATATTATACCTAGTTGTACTTGTTATATAACCTGACTCTATGGTAAACGTTAGAGAAATTCGAAATTTCTAAGAAACTATTCAAATGAATGATATATATATATACATTCTTTAGTAATCGTTATATATAGAAGAAGATAAATGATTTTAATTTCTGGAATTAACAATTTTAAAGCACTACAAAAAAAAAACTCATGTTATTCTATTGGAAAATAGCAAACACCGTTTCAACATTTTTGCAATCCCATTAACCTAAATTTTAGAACTAGAAAATGAAACATTTAGAATTTTTTTTTAGGAGTTATATTCTTAGGGTTAAAAGCGAAAACTGAAAAAATAGCTAAAAGTATGGAATTTGGATTTTAAAAAAGGAATTCCCAAATTTGCCTAGATAAAGGTTGAATAACTTTATTAAGATTTTAAAAATTTAGGGTTGATGATTACATTGCATTATATTGTTACAACTATTAATTAACTGGAAACACGATTCGACCGCATGAAACTTATTGAAATATACCCTTACAAGTGGGATTTTCTAAGAAAATTCTTTATCTTTAATTAGAACTAAAATTTGATTGAAGAATTATAACCCTGATTTAGAAAAATCATTCTGTATTAAACATTTTCTATTTCGATAAACTTTTTTAAAAACTATGCTTAATTTGGTTGAGCTAATCACATTTGGAACATCCATCTTTGGCCTGGTTGTTTCTATAATGATGGCACAGCCTGCTTCATATTTTTAACTTTACTTGGTACTACAGCCACTGAAGAGCTTAGTTCTTCAAGAAATAAACTAAAGCAAGATTATCTAATTTAGCCGCGAGAAGTATTAAAGACAAAAAAAATATAATAATAATTAATAAATTTTCTCCATCTTCTTAACTACACTGTACATTTTTTTAAAAGCCTAAATTATCAATACCAACTTTATTTCTTTTTAAGGTTTTCATACATATATGCAATATTGTATTCTTACAATTATTTTCTGGCAAAAATTAGCTCACTAGCACTTTTCGGGGTCAAATTAGTATCTTGAATCTTGGGTGTTCGATACTTGGCAATGAAACGTAATGGTAAATTAAATGGTTGCCGATCCTTTTCCCAAAGTAGTACTTTCAAAATATTCATAAATCACAACACCAATTCAAGCTAATTTATCAATAAAAATGTTTTTTTATATTCAGTAGACGTTTTTCTTAATTTAATTAACCAGTGCTATTACACACTAAAGATGAATGTTATCATCGAATTTGTTTAATGAGTTATTAATGGCGGATCAAATGAATTCGAATACAGTTTGCTCTACGATTATAATCATCGGGTTGTTCAAATACGAGATCATTACGCAATGAGCCTGTGTTACTTGAGACTTTATTACAGGGGTCATCGCTGGCTAAATGCTTTGAACGCTTCAGAAGCTAAAGGTAGCGCTCATGGACACTTATTATTACTCTTAGGCACCCTTATTGGTGCTCCTTAGGCCAAAAATGTTTATAAGCAAAAATGGTTAAGCATCCCTCTTTCTCAAAATTTAGCCCAATTTTGAAAAATGGGTTAGAACTTTATTTTGGTTTTTTTTTAAAAAATTATTATCGCTTAAATTTTTTTTTTGAAAATGATTAACACCCCATTTGTAATAATAGATAATTAGAATAGCCTTTTCTTACGAAGGTTTTAGGGCTTAAATATTATTTATCTTGTGATACTAAATACCATTTTTTTATTACCATGACGTAACGATGACATGACGTAACGATGACATGACGTCACGAATGACGTAGCGAAGACATCGGAAAATTATAATTTAGATTGGAAGAATAGTGTCCTTTCCCTTCTTTTCGCCTAAAGCAAAACACAAATTGGTGAAAAATCGAAAAAAAATAATAATGTGTAATCTATTTAAATAAATATTATCTAAAAATAAATTATTTGTCATTATTTTATAAATTCTGAAATGTAGTCGCGGGGGGGGGGGGGGGGGGGGGAGGGGTTAGGCGTATAGGGACGCGTAGTGCCCCACGTAGTTCCGCGCCGATTTAAAAAAATTTGGCATGTCCCTGCCGGAAATAGGTGGCACGGCATGATCCGAAAATTATGAATTTTCTAAAATATTTTATAAACAAAATGATAGTAAATGTATTTATACATAAATTCAAAAATTTTCCCCATATTTAATTTCTGGCGTTGGTGTCCTCCCATGGATGATCCTATTTTAAAATTTCTAGACCTAATTAAACTGGAATCGAAAGAAGCAGAGTGGAGATAGTTCTTTACCTTACTGAATCTTCTTAAATTCTCTATGGTTTCTGAAATTTTTTGCAAAAAAATTGGATATATTTAGTTAGTGATGACGTCAGTGTCATGACGAGAAAAAAAACTTGGTGCAGAAAAGGGTCTATGTGCCCTTGAGCCAATCATACTCTGGCATTGTTTAAATCACTTTAGGGTTAGCGGATGTCCGTTGCAACAAAAAGTCTTAAGGGTGTTAATTGTTTTAAGGTCTTCATTGACACAATATTATAGTTTATATAGCCAGTCTAACAGAATATCAAAAGGTGTTGGATCAAATAGAATTTGAATTGAACATTCATTCGTTACTCCAAGGATACCTGATGTATGATGGATGCTCATTTCAAAAATTTAGCAAATTCTAGCAAAAGTGCTTAAATTTAATGATTTGCCCCCCCCCCGGTTAGAAAGTAGCGAATTCTTATCAGATCTCGCCTTGATGTAACGATGTTCTTATTTGATTTATTCAACCTGTCTATAAGTCTTAAGACAAGAACCGATCCATTAAACACCGAAAGATCAGTAGAGCAAACAATTAGTGTAAAAAACCCTTAAGGATATGCCTGGTAGTTTCTAAATGAATGTTTATTTTAAACTCTATTATCTTGAGAAGACATTTTGACATCAATCAATTTTTTTTTCTATCTACACTATTTTTTATTTACATTTTTTTTAAAAAAAACCTCGAAATATTTATAAATCAAATTATAGCCAATAAAAGTTTAACCATAATATCGAAAAAAAATATTGAGGATTAATAATCCTAATTGATAAAAGGGGGGGGGGGGGTAACATCTACTGGATCGTTTCATTTTTATCCTGTATGCCTCGATGATACAATAACTGTGTGTATTGTTTTTAATAATTATATTTAATGGGTGGTTTAATAAATTATTAATGGTGGACTACATGAGTTGTTATTTATTGTAATATGTTCATGATAATAATTGACCAAGAGACATTAGAGTAATGATTAATTTGTATAACCTCGAAAAAATCATGCTTATGCACTTAAATATAAAATAGTAAAAAATTCTGAGAAAATGAATATTTTTACTTAAGCAAAATCATCTTTTAAGGAATTTCTTAAAAATTATTTTATAAGTAGTTTTAATTCTGAGTAATTATGAGGGAAAAAAAATAATATGTGTTGAAGCAGTTGCCTTATGTATTATCACATTAAATCATTTTATATTGGATTAAGCTTCAGAAGTGCTTGACTAGTGTTGTTAATTTACTTGGTCGTAAAATTTACTACCTAATTTTGTGCTCATGCCTGCTCTGAGCACCAACCCTGAGCACAGACCCGGGTCCAGACCGGGGTCCAGATCAGGGGACCCGGTACAAAAACCCATTTATTTTTAAATTTTTTTTTGAACTTAGTAGAAAAGTATACATAAGATTTATTCGTTAAAAGAACAAGCGTTCCCTCTCGGTCTCGATAGGCTAATAGGGCTAGGTGTGTTAATTATATACTGTAGTCTACTAGTAATCATAATTATTATTCTAAAATGGGTGGGTCCAAGAGGTTATTAATATTTTTAACAACACGATGATATTGATATTATGGGCGTCAAATAAAAGGTGTTTTAATTAAATTTTTGACTATTAATACTTATTATTAATATTCTAATTAGGCGGGGGTCTACTAGGTCTTATGAGGTCAGAAATATTTTTAACAATGGGAAATATTGATATGGGCTTCAAATAAACGGGAATTTAATTATATCTTGATTGTAATCTAATTATTCAAAGTGGGCTGGTCTAGGAGGGCACATGAATATTTTTAACAATGCACTATTTATCCTCAATTTGAAAATTATGACCTGGAAACCCTGTTCACATTATTTAATAAATATATATTTTATTATATCATATTTGATATTCCCGGCACAAAAACCCATTTATTTTTTCCCCCAAAATTATATGTAGGATTTATTCATTAGGAGATCAGGCGTTCCCTCTCTACTTTGTACTGTAGGCTAATGTATAGGGCTTAGAAGGGGCAGGAATATTTTTATCCAAAATAATAATATAGGTTGTCCTGAGGAGTCAGGAATATTATTATCAACGCAAAATATTGACTGACAAAACTGATTATGACTTACGATAAACTCTATTGTGTTTATCAATATATTTTAACATTTTATTTTTAGTAAATTTACCAACCAAGGGCATCATACTATAAATAGTAGGATTTTTTTGATTTCTTTTAAAGACCTGATGTTGTAAATTTAACTAGAATATAATTTAAATAATTATTGTTTAAAAAATAAGAATATATTTTTATTAATAAATTTCTTCACATCCGTTTTTTTGATTTATAAATATTTATCCTTATTAAAAAATAAAAACTATATTTCCATTCCCCCTTCCATCTGTTTTTTCCCAAAAAATTATTATTTTTCATGATAATAATTTTTTTATTTAAAATCATTTAAGTAAAGATTAAAAAAATGTCCTCCATGAGATTTCAACATTTATAATTCCAAAGTGCCGATAACTGAGAATTTTGCCGTCGGAAGAAATTAATTAAGTAAGTCATTTTAATGATATACTGGCCATCCGTCAAGATAAAAAAAATAAAACAGATATATTTTGAAGTATCTATGTGACAATTGACAAACTTATGATATTAGAAATTTTGATATATATTTTTTATGAGAAATTATTTTTTCATGGTTAATCATAAACATTTTAATAATATCATTATGTGATATTTTATTATAATTTATATTTAAACAAATATATATAATTATAGTATTACGATAAATATAATGAAATAAAAAAATTATATAATATACATTTAAAATATATATATATATATTTTCCAATCCAAACCCATATAAAATATTATGTTAAAAATTCGTATTCCGTTATATAAAATTGTCATATTCCTATTACGAGTGAGTCTTGCACGGTAGAGAGAACATACATAAAGTTCCGCTTCAAATAATATTTTAACATATATGTAAATATTAATAATTTATTGAGATAAATAATATTATTATATGGCATGCATGATACTTAATGTTCTTAAACGGCGCGAATTTTACCAAATAAATATTCGCGCGCCTGCACTTAGCTAAATTTCAATTTATGTTTTTAAAATTGACTGCATTTGAGACTTTTAACAACACGAATAATAAATTAAAACTCAAAATAACCTATTAACATAAATATTTATTACAGATATTTTACTTAAATAAATTTCTAAACAAGTGATATTTTATATTTCTATTCTTACCTCTCTAATTGATGTATGTTTATTAAAAATATGGTTCCATATACTGTAACACCTGAGAAATTATTGCCATATTTCATCACGAATAGACATTATATCTATATCCCAGGAAGAGAGTGACATGCATTGCTTTAGCGTCGATGGGGCCATCCTGTTCCTCAGTTTTGTCATAATATTTCCGGCCAAAGAAAAGCTCTTTCCGATGCCACTGAGGTTGTCTGTTGGCATAGATAGTCCCTGGCCATCATTGCTAAATGAGGAAAACCATCAGCATTTCCTCTCCACCAATCTAATATATTTGTGATTTCGGGCGCGAGTGGTTCATTGAGGTATGTCGTTAATTGATTATTATCATTAGTGCCATTTGATGCTCCTTTTCTAAATATGGATAAATTTAAAATATCAAAGATTATGGATTTATAATAGAACATTTAACAAATAATACCTTTTTTTCAATCCCTGCAATATTGAAATAGTTTTAGAATTCGAGATATTATTTATTATTATCAAAATTATACGCATCTGGCCCTGACGTATATTTTGCAAAGTTTATGTTTATTTTAAATATATCTAAATATTTATCTGCAACGTCATCCTATAGATTTGTAATCAGGGTATTTTTGATCTTAGGATCAAATAACGACGCTGCGTAATTATATGGAGTGAATATATTATGACTATATTCTTCAGCTTTCTTTAACATAATAGTGGCTGCTTCTTTTATTGACAAATTTGAATATGCCACGGTATGATTTTTTAAATTCTCCAATATATCATTGAAGAATAATAGGGTCATCCCGATTGTGGGAGAATGAGTGGATATTTCTACTGTTATTTGATAAAAGGGTAGAAGAAATTCTTCCAACTCTAGGAATAACGAGTATTCATCAGAAGTTTGGGTAATATCCTCCCCTATTATACCTTGATCGCTCAGTTCATGAATTGAATCAATATTCTAGATAGATATATTAAGAAAAAGAATAAAATATACAATAATAATAATTACCTTATTAATGGCGGATATCATGAGGTACTTGCTGTTCCATATTGTTTTAACAGCTAAAGGTATTAATGTAGCCCCACATATGGCTTTATAAGATTGCATAAATTAGGGTCAGCTATGTAATTTATTAACTATATTTTCTATTTTTTCCAATTTCGCCTCAAAAAAATGAAGGCCCACCTTTACTATTAAATTAATGATGTGGGCCATGCAGCGATGCTCATATAAAATTTTCGAGTAATGGGTTTGATAATACTCTTGCAGCAGTTGTACTGCCTTGATCTCATTTAATCCGTTATCGTGTGTTATTGATATTATTTTATCACTTAATTTAAAATCTTCTAATGATTATAAAACAATTTTGCAGATATTATCTCCAGTGTGTGGGTGAGGAAACAAAATAATATCTAAAATCCTATTTACAATATCCCAATTGTTATCAATATAATGGAAAGTAATAGCACAGTAGGACGTGCTATTGTTAGCAGTCCATAAATCTGTACTTAAGGATATCATATTACTTTTATTTTTTAATTTATCAATTAAATTATTTTTTTGCAAAATTATAGACATTACCTAGGTTTTTTGTTATTGTTTGCTACACAACAGCTTGATATTCTTATTTGTAATAATAGAATATCCCCTTAAAAGCTGGGTTATCTATTATGTTAAAGGAACTATTAGTTTTTATTTAGAAAATTAAGATGAGTTTATTTATCATCAAATTTTCATGCGATAAAAGCTTTCTCATCCCCGGCATCGAGTCATAAATGGAACCCTGTGAGTGTGACATCTCTTTAAATATGTTAGGATGCACCGATTTGAGATGTTTTTTCAAATTCGCCAAATATATAAAATATAATTCATAAATTAGTAAAGGAAGTTTTTAATAAATAATATTTTTCGGTCTAAACCGTGCTCAGAACTTAAGTTAAAAAGCTAAATTTTTTATTTCTCAAGCCGGCTCTGGATAGGTTTAAGCCGTTGTTTCAGGCGGGCTCAAGAAATATTTAAAACAAAAATTTTAAATTATTGTTACTTTGGGAAGTTGAAAATTTGTATACACTTGGGCATAAATTACATTTTTTGCGTGTCTTGTTAGGAGTCATCGTAAATGAATTCTTAATGTCTATTGCTATGGATGATGACGATGAGGCTTCCTCAGAAAAAGAATCTACCATTTCTTCTATAGTTGATTGAGACAAAAATGAGAATTCATTAATTGGAGAAGATGGCATAGATTGGTCATCATTATCTGACCAATGAAAATGATTTTCAGAAAACATATTAAATATAAAAATTTTTAATTTATTTTATAAAATAAAAATGAAAATGAAAAAAAAATCTATTTAAAATTAGAATACAATAATATTCTTTATTTTTTAGTTAAAAATAGATTTACTTTTTGATATTTTTTAAAAATCAATAATAAATAAAATGTTAAGCTATAAAAAATTATTTTCCCAGTTGGAATTCAAAAAATAATAATATATTTATAATATTTATACTATAAATAACTTTATTTTTCCGTTTTTTTTATTTTAAAATATTTATCCTTATTAAAAAATAAAAACTATATTTTTATTCCCCCTTCCATCTGTTTTTTTCCAAAAAAATATGGTATCGGGCCCATCCGTTTGACTTTGTTTTGTCATTATACCATTTCGCGTCAATTTTTCGAAAAATTTTATCTAATTTTCAATACAAAGGTAAATAATAAATATTTACATATATATTTTATATAATTTTCAAAGCTTCCAAAAATTTGATATAAAATTTTCAATACAAAAAGGTAACTATTTTGATTACAACTTATTTTGTTACACTTTTGAAAAATTTGATATAAAATTTTCAAAAAGGTAAATATTTTGATTACAACATATTTTGTTACACTTTTCTTTAAATCAGGTAGCATAGTCATTTACTCCACTCTGTAAATAATACCTTCCTCATATAGAAGGTCAATATATTATAAAAAACAAAATATATTTTACAATGGAAAAGGTTATACAGTAAATAACCTATTTACTTTGACCACAGCATGCAATGGTAAATTATTTAATATACAATATGTGATTTATTGTTTTCTAGATGTTTGCAAATATTTGACTGCAAGAAGAGAAAGTATTTTACAAAATAACATAAAATATTATACTATTTTTTTAAAATAATTAATCAAATTTTTTTTAATATATTATCTTTTAAATTTTATTAAAAATAGTTCATCTAAATTGTGATATAATATTATCCTTTAATTTTATTATAAATACAAATTTATTTTAAACAAATTTTTCCTTAAGTATCTGGCAATCAGGCTGGTGATGGAGACAATAATATATTGATATCTGGGGTCTTTTTGGAAGAAGATCAAGAAACCGTTTCTTCCAATCTCAATCAAGTGCAAGAGGCTGGGGAGAGTGTTGGAGGAAGTATTTTACAAAATAACATAAAATATTATACTTTAAATTTTTTTAAAATAATTAATCAAAATTTTGTTAATATATTATCTTTTAAATTTTATTAAAAATAGTTCATCTAAATTGTGATATAATATTATCCTTTAACTTTATTATAAATAACAAATTTTTTTTAAATAAATTTTTCCTTAAGTATCTGGCAATCAGGTTGGTGATGGAGACAGAAATGTGGTGATATCTGGGGTCTTTTTGGAAGATGATCAAGAACCCGTTTCTTCCAATCTCAATCAAGTGTAATAGGCTGGGGAGATTGTTGGAGGAAGTATTTTACAAAATAACATAAAATATTATACTTTAAATTTTTTTAAAATAATTAATCAGAATTTTGTTAATATATTATCTTTTAAATTTTATTAAAAATAGTTCATCTAAATTGTGATATAATATTATCCTTTAACTTTATTATAAATAACAAATTTTTTTAAAATAAATTTTTCCTTAAGTATCTGGCAATCAGGTTGGTGATGGAGACAGAAATGTGGTGATATCTGGGGTCTTTTTGGAAGATGATCAAGAACCCGTTTCTTCCAATCTCAATCAAGTGCAAGAGGCTGGGGAGATTGTTGGAGGAAGTATTTTACAAAATAACATAAAATATTATACTTTAAATTTTTTTAAAATAATTAATCAATTTTGTTAATATATTATCTTTTAAATTTTATTAAAAATAGTTCATCTAAATTGTGATATAATATTATCCTTTAACTTTATTATAAATAAGAAATTTTTTTAAAATAAATTTTTCCTTAAGTATCTGGCAATCAGGCTGGTGATGGAGACAGAAATGTGGTGATATCTGGGGTCTTTTGGAATAAGATCAAGAACCCGTTTCTTCCAATCTCAATCAAGTGCAAGAGGCTGTGGAGAGTGTTGGAGTAAGTATTTTACAAAATAACATAAAATATTATACTTTAAATTTTTTTAAAATAATTAATCAAAATTTTGTTAATATATTATCTTTTAAATTCTATTAAAAATAGTTCATCTAAATTGTGATATAATATTATCCTTTTTGATAATAAGTTATTATAGTTTTATATTTTTGCTTATATAACATGTATCGTGTAACTTATGAAAATGATTATATAATTACACACAAAAAAAAACAAGTTATTACAACAATATATAATTATATAAATATTAATTATTAGATAATATTCGTAAATAAAAGAATATATATTAATACTTGTATTTCCTTTTTTATCCCACAATAAATAATTTAAAATCATTTAATATAATTACATTAAAAATATTAATACTAATTACATTTTAAATTTCGATAATATTAAATCCGCAAGTTGGCGTTTACTATTTTAAAAATATTATTATAATAAAAATATAATAATTTAGGAAAGTTATATATATATAAATATATATATCAGAATTTACTCACTTAAAACATTAAAGGTTCATTTTAATAAACTGAATTACTATCAATACGTATGGTGGAAGGGCCATATGTATAATATTTTTAAAAAAAGTCATTAACCAGTAAGTTATGATATTCAATAATACCAAGTGATTATTAAAATAAAAAAAAAATTAAATATTATTTATCTAACAATATTATAGTATATGATTAATTTTTATTTATATATATTAGAATCATATTTAAATAAAATATTTCATAAACACGATGGCATTCATTCATTTACCTATTTTTTTTTACCTCATTTTATCGGATGATTACAATCATAGCAGTAGTGTTGTTAAACGGCTAACTCAATACTTCATCCAGAAAAATATTACCCAAGCCTGAAGATTTTGCTAATAGAAGGAACAAAAGTCTTTACATATATTTTCGAAATCTTGAGGTTTATACAATATTTTTCTGACTAAAATATTTTAAAAATCACTAAAAAAAGCTATAAAAAATTATTTTCCCAGATGGAATTCAAAAAATAATAATATATTTATAATATTTATGCTATAAATAACTTTATTTTACATCAATTTATTTTTATTTATAAATATTTATCCTTATTAAAAAATAAAAACTATATTTTCATTCCCCCCTTCAATCTGTTTTTTTTTCCAAAAAATTATTATGGAAATAAATCATTTGATAATAAGTTATTAAAACGTAAAATAGTTTTCACCATTTTTAAAAAATTATACCGGTTCATTTAAATAACAGTGTTTTTATGAAAACACCGCTAAACGCTTCTACTCAATTTGTAAGCAATTTTACTCATTATTTTCAAATAAAATGAAATTAAAATACATGTGAAACCGGGGCAAAATGAGTTAAGTGTTTATTTAACATATCTTACACTTTTCTTTTGGATAAGAGGGCAGGCCTATCTTTCAGCATAAGAGTTCTATATAAATATCATATGAGATAATTCAAAATTGAGTGCAAAATCGTCACAATCCTATTTTTTTTTTAAATATTATTCAATTAATATAATTATTAAAAAATGTTTCGAAATAAATTAGTCATTATTAGCAATTATCGCTATAACATCTTCGCGATAGTTGTTTCGCGATATTGTATTCGCGGTAATGTATTCGCTTTATAGGTTTCGCGATAAAGGTTTCGCTATAAAAAATTCGCGATAAACGACATTCACGATAAAAGCTTCGCGAAAAGGTGTTTCGCGATAAAAGTTTCGCTGAAATGTATTTACTGGCTATAACATATTATTTAAGAATTATATTATAAATATGAAATACTTGCAAAAGACCAATCTTATATATTTCTTCAATTTTTAGGCATATAAAAATTAATTATACACTAATTTAATTAGTATTATTAACATATACACATTTTGACCAATTTTGAGAGAAATCGGTCCAATAGATAAAAAGTTAAAGGGTGGTGGCCAGTCTTCAAACATAGCCATTTATGGCACATTTCCCCTAATGGTAGAACAAAATTTTGACATGATTTGTGTTCTCCTATGTATGCAGAGCCTAAATAATGATTTCACAAATTTACACAAAATTGATATATACATATATAATATAGATTTACTTTTTATAAAATGATAATATTCTTTAAATAAAAATTCTTTATTATTTTTTTTAAAAATAATCGGTTTTTGTGCCGGGTCTGGAACCCGGGTCTGTGCTCGGGGTTCGTGCTCAGAGCTGGTTTAGTCGATATTTTCGACCCAAAACCCGGGTCTGGGCTCTACACAACCAACCAATTAACAACACTATGCTTGACAAAGTTTAGCGAAGAACGATAAAAGAGTATAGTTTGTTTGTTGTTTAAAATATACCTTTTTTTTTATCTTCCTTATTTCGGTTGAAGGAGACACAGATGAAGCCCCAAAACCAAAATACTTGCCTGACTTAAAGGAATTTAAGTTAATCTATCAGTTCTCAGACATGTTTGAGATGTTAGCTGAGGCTCAGACTTATTATTAAATTTATTGAGGTAGGACTATATGGTGTTGGCTTCCTTGACTGTGTGAACAAGTTAATGCCTCTTCCTAAAGGTGGCCAAGATGTTGCAATCTATATGATTATGTGGTTGGACTATTGTTACATCTCAGTCCTAAACCTGTGCCTACTCTTAATTATCTGCTAAAGAGATTGTCAAGGTTGCGACTGGGAAGAGACTTAAATATTTTAAAAATTTATATAGATTTAAACTATTGAAGCGCTTCTAAAATCTTGTTTGCAGACATTAGAATCTGGTGGGGTTGGTTGTCTAGATATATCCTTACAAATATTTTAAAAATTTATTTAGATTTAAACTATTGAAGGCGCTTTTTAAAATCTAGTTTGCAGACATTAGAATCTGGTTGGGTTGGCTATCTAGATATATCCTTAGATGAAGCTATTTTCAACCACTTTTCTCTGAGACCAAAATTGAAGTTGATGACAGGAGTTTGATAAGTAGATAGCCTCAGGTTTAATATGCTTCATTAAACTTAGCAATCACCTATTATTTACATAATTATTTTTTAGATATTTATAAAATGGTTAATAATAATAAAAAAATTATTATTAGTTGATATGTACTATAAACACGGCTCCCAAAAATTATACGAAAAGTATTTGTTATTTAAATAACTTTTTATTCGAAGATTTTGAGGGTATTTAGCAGAGTTGTTAAAAGATACTTTTTAAATCTATTTAGATACTGATACCACATTTTTATATCTAGATACTTGTATCTAGATCCTTTTTCAACTCTGGTATTTAATATTTTAAACATATTTGTTCAAAAAGTATTTTGTATTTGTATTCAAATACTTCTTCTTTTTTTGGATTGTATCTATATTTACATTCAAATAGATATTCTTGAAACTTTGTCCAATCCCTGTCTGTTATTTAGATTGCAAAGATAAAAATATATTTTACGTAGTTTATGTGGCTTAATAGGTTCAAATCCAGATTGAGTATTTTTTTTGTTTTAAATTTTGTTAGTTTTTTTATATATTCTTTATATATTTATTTTATTCCATGAACTTTAACAAAAACATCTTTATACGTTAAATGGGTAAGATATCGTCAATGTACTAGTTTGTTATTACATATCGTCGGCTGAGAATTATAATGTTCTATTTCCACTTTTTTTTTGGCCAATATTCTTCTTTTTTTTGATAAAATAAATTCTTCATATCCTTAATATATCCACAAAAAAAAGTAGTAAAATATATTTTATTTTCTTTAGCTTTCACCTTTTTTTTGGTGTTAAGCTCCTTCAATATCTCTCTCCACTTTATGTTATTCATACTATCTCTTTTATCTAATTTATATTTCTTCATATTGGCTCTAACTTTATGTCCCCATTAAAGTTTTGGCCTTCATCTTTTACATTTGTCCATCACTTCCAAAACTCTTAACATTATTCTATATAGTTTATAGGCCCCTTCTCATTGTGTGCCCATAACCACCTAAAGATTAATATAATTGTGAATAATCATTTATTTTTGCATTTTATTAAACATTAGATTTTCCTATTTTAAAAATATAAGAAATCATTTAGTTTTTTTTTGTTTTGTTAGGCTGTGTCCAAAATATCAAAAAAGATTTAAATTCATAAATTTTCTAAACTTTAATAAAAAAATAAATAAATAAGCTAATTTTAAATATAAAAAATAAAATCACGTCCTAAATACAATAAATTTCAAAAATTTAACATACGATTTTCCACAATATTAAGATTTATGAAAGTTTTGGAAGTTTTCGAATTTTTATAAAATGATACTCTCCTCAAAGGATTATTTTTAAAAAAATGGATATAGAACATTTTAATACTCAACCGACGATATAATATATTTTTTTGTTTCATCTACCACTCAAAAATGCGATGTTTAAATATAGGTGTAAAATATTTACTGTTTTTTTCTTATCCAAATTCTTGAAGAAAGAAAAAAATTGTTTTTCAAAAACCTTAAACAAACAAAAAAAACCTTCCAGGGGTCTTTTACATCAAAGGGATGGATGAAAATTAAATTAACTAAACGTTAACTTTAAAATATATAAATAATAAAGGGTTCATTTTAAGAATTATTTTATTTTTTCGACATCTGTTTCGGTTAAGGTCTAAGATTATTAAATTAAAATAGAAATTATTTCGTATTTCATTAATATTACGAATAATAAGGATTATTCAATTTTAAATCGGATCGAATCGAATAACCGAAATAGATATTCGTAACCGATTTCGATGGAATCATTTGAAAAATTATTCCATATTTTTTTACTTAAATAATTTAATATTTATTCCTCCTATATATGTATATTCAAAATGATTTTGTAAAATATTTCGGAAATATTCCTAAGTATTTCAACATGTTCTTTCCTCGCGGAAAAAACTCTAGAGTTCGGCGAAGATCGGCAAAGATTGGCCTGGAAGCCCAACCCAAAGGCGGGACCCATGGGAAGGCAAAAAGGTTTTT